CTACCCAGCAAAGCAAGCAAATAAAAAAGATTTTAACAGCAATAATATTAGTGTGTGAAAGTATGCTCACCTCCACCCAGAAGCAACATTGCCTGAATGGAGGAAAACAGCATATTGTATAGTTTCCACAGAAGAAAGGCCCTCACTTTTTTTTTTTTTGATAAGTAAAAAGGCCCTCACTTGACTTGCAGTAAATTTTGTCTTATTGTGATGAGAAACATTGGCATTATTTATTGTTGGTTTTCTTTCATTTGGAATGTTTTTGAGTTCAGTTTGATTCTTTTTGGATGAGGATAACATTATTCTGCTTCGAATTTTCTTTAAAAAAATAATTCTACAGAATTATTCATCTCTCTCACACTCTCTCCCTCCTCTCTCCACATCAGAACCAATTGTATGAATAATACTTCAAAAAGTTATGCAGGGGCATCCTCTATTACTGAGTAGAGCACCCACTCTGAAATCTCTAATGAACTGTCTTCTTAGACTGGACCTATCTTGACATGCCCAGCTCCATTATATATAAAGATGCATTGATACAATAGTCAAAACTCACAGAGATTACGAAAATTACATCTGCTGATTTTTTATGTCCCTCCCCCACCCTCCAATTATTAACAGTGTTGAAATAAATAATGACTGGTGTCTATGGTAGCATCACCAGATTATAACTTGAACGTCCTAGATCCAAATTTATACAAGTATACATAAATGACCCTAATGGATATTGCTTTCATATTTTTTTTTCATAGAATGGTCGTATCTGTTGAGTAAGTGAATATATGAGTTTCCAGAAAAAAGATTTAACTTTATTTTGACAGCATCAAATCATCCTGAAATTGGAATGCACGACAAATCATTTCAAATTCCAGTTCGGAAACACTGGTGTACTAACAAGTTACTAGATGGTTCCGTAATTTCACCAATCACCCAGACAATCAACCCTCCCTCACTCCCCCCAGAAGAACTTCAATAAATATAATAATTAATAAATTGTCACCAATAACAGGTTTAAACTAAAAAATGTAAAAAGTATCTATCATTTCTGATTACCCATTTATGTCCTCAATGAAAACTCATTCATAATAATCAAAGCCCATATTTCCACTGCAAATCCCAACTCATAGCATACACAAAAAAAACCCAAAAAAGTTTTAATTAAATTAAAATTCTGATGTCAGTATACCTGATTTTTCATTTCTGGTAGCCCCCACCAATTGCATTATCATCCTCGACAACTTTCGCAGTCAAATAAGGCCTGGGGAAATCACTGGTATCAAAAGTTTTCTCCTTCATCATCTTCTCCACATCAGCCTTCCTCAAAACGGTGCGTTTTATAGGTGGGCGATTGCGGCGCTGATCGCGGGAGTAGTACTTGATATCATATACAGTCTCGGGAAGGGAGTTGGGGATGATGGCCTTCTCGGGGACAGTGGCGGGGCAGAAGACCCGGTACTCGGTAGCTTTGGGCACCGCCAACCTGTACTCCGGATCGGCGCACGGGCCGGTGATTTCCCACGGCTTCTTCACGTACCGCCGGAGGGTCTGAACTAGGGATCTTACTGCGGAGGCCATTCGGAAAAATGGGGAAGGGAACGAGAGACTACGGGAAATGAGGTGAATTGATTTGGGAATATAAGAAGGCACAAACGGCGATCGTGGGCTATAATTTATGAAGTTTTGAAAATAGCCTTTTTCAACATAAAATGAAAATAAAAAAATAAGGATAAATTACAAGACATCCCTATCATTTGGAAAACATTTTCTTAGCCTCGATTTGAGCTACATCAAAATTTTAATTCTCATAATTCTACTCATTTTTAACTACACATTTTTTAATAAAATAATATTTTTCATCACATCAATAATTTTTCATTCTTTTTCAACTACACATTCTCTATCAATTTACTATTCCAAACTACATTCTTTCAAAATAATTTGGTTCAAACACATCTCTACTTTCCAAACAGGGGCGAAATATTTAAGTCCGTGTTTGGTTTTGAGGAAAAAAAATGATTTTTATTATATTTTAATAAAAACTGATGGAATATGTGGTTGAAAAATTGTAAATATCATAAAATGTATAATTAAAATTAATTATTACTTTAACTTATATTTTAATCAACTTTTTAATTGAACCAATAGGACTTAGGTCCATTTAGCATAACTTTGGTTTTTTTGAGCTTATTAAAGAAGTTGATATTAAGTCCATGTTTGACCCACGTTATTTTTTTCATTCTCATTCTTCTACTTATTTTCAACCACACATTTTTTAATAAAATAATGTGTGGTGGAAAAGTAATGAAAAGTTTTAGATTTGTGTGTAATATTATTTTATTTGATGAATGTGTGGTTGTAATGAAGAGAGTAAAATTTAATGTAATGTAATTTATTTTTAATATTTTCATAACTTTTGTTTTTTTACTTTCTATAAAAGAGCTTATTAAAGAAGTTATATTAAACACATGTTTGACCCACATTATTTTTTTCATTTTAATTCTTTTACTATTTTCAACCACACATTTTTCAATAAAATAATATTTTTTATCACATCAATAATTTTTCCTTTATTTTCAACCACATATCCCCCCATCACATCATTTTGAAAAAATGTATTCTCTCATTTTAATGTGCACCAAACAGACACTAATTTATATTTGAAAATTAAATTTTAAAAAACTTTTTAGTCAGAAAGTATTTTTAGGAAAAGTCACATTTGGGGGTTGTTTGATGGAAATTCAAATTAAATTTTTAGTAGATTTTGATAAACGTTGATAGAATGTATGATTGAAAAATTGTGGGACCAATAAATATATATGATTAATATTAATTATTTGACTTTGATTTAGATTAAAATTTGATTTTAATCAATACCAAACATGGGTTTGACCAACTTTTTCTAAAAACTCTTCTAATTAGAATAACATTTTTTTATAAGATTAATGAAATAAATTCAAAAGTAGCTTTTGAGTTTTGAAAGTTCATTTTGACTTTCAAAAGACATACCAAACATGCTCTTAAATTACTTTTTATGAAAAAGGTAAAAGAAGGAATTTATGGTAGTAAACAAATGTAAAGACAGGTGGGATTGAGGCTAACTCAAATAGTAAAAGCGAAGTCTTGACAATTCCATCACCTAAGTTCGAGTTCCATTTGGGAACGATGAAATTCAAAAAATAAAAATAAATAATAATAACAATAAAAAAAATAATGTAAGGAAAGATTATTGAAAATTTGAAAAAAAAAAAAAGGGTTAAAACATATTTTGCCCGTTTGATTTTGATTCAAATTCAATTAAAATTTCAAGTCAAAATCAACAATTAATTAGGGATCTATAATTTTTTAATCATACATTTTATCAATTTTTAAATATACTAAAAATTCAATCATAATCTACATCAAACATAGACTTTGTAAGAAATTTTATCATAGGATTCACCCAAAAAAAAAAAAAAAGTCAAAAAAAAAAAATGATTTTAATTATATATTTAAAAATTCATAACTTCTATCAAAGCATAATTGCTCGTGGAGCATGGTTGTTAAAGTTTAGCTTACAATTTAAATATCATATTTTTTATTCACACGTTTTATATAGTTTACAACTTATTATTCACTTATGATACACACTGTCAACACTGCTAAACAACAGTATTGCTATGGATATAGTTAGGTTGACATTGTGTGAGGTGACCAATATTTCTGCCTTTGAATTTAAAATAATCAATGACACAGAGTTTGATAATACATGTCGATAAAGATATAATCAATTAGCTCTTGTTTGACCTCCATTATTTGACATTTTTGATAGTTGAAAATTTTTGGAATAGTGATTGATGGGAGAATGTGTGGTGGAAAAGTAATGAAAAGTTTTAGATTTGTGAGTAATATTATTTTATTTGATGAGTAATGCTATTCATCCCCACTGGGGATGGAAACACAGTCTACATGGCATCAATGTGGCATTAAATGATAAGTGAAATTAAATAATTTCACCTTTCATTTAACATATCATTTAAAGTCATGTAAACTGTGTTTCAATCCTCACTGGAGATGAATAACATTACTCTTATTTGATGAATGTGTGGTTGTAATGAAGAGAGAAAAATTTAATGTAATGTAATTTAATTTAATGGGGGCCAAACAGAGGCTAAATGTACAAATAGCATCATTCTCTAAACAAGCACATAGCCCATGTTCGGTATCGATTAAAATTTAGATTTTAATTTAAGTCAAAGTCAACCATTCATTTTAACCAAATATTTTATGGATCTTAAAACTTTTCAATCACATATTTAATCAAAATTTATTAAAATCTACAAAAAATCTGATTTCAATCATCATCAAACCGGAGCTTAATGTCAGTCAAACAGCTCCTATCGAAATAGCTTTTGAGCATTAGTATTTCGTCGCTCTTTTATCGTGCGCAAAATCTCTCTAGCCCTCCTATCCCCTCTATTGATTGTGTCGCGCTCTCCTCTGTCTCTCTCTCTCTCTCTCTCTCTACAATTACTGCTTCATCACATCGTTACTTTCTCTCACTCTGTTTAACTTGCTAATTAAGTTCTTGATCAGGTAATTAGTTGCTTTTAATATTCTCTTAGTTAATCAGATCATGCAAAGTTCACATTTTTTTTGATTACTATTTCAAGATTCGATCAGTCAGAACCACGATAGTGTGAATTATGTGCTAAAGAGTTTTCATTTATTTGACAATGTGTGTAATTGATGTCTTGATTTTCTCTATTTTTCCTCCAGGGTTTTGTTTTATATTCTCAATAATTTAGATGGGTAGGTTGGTTTCCAGGAAACCGGATCCGTGATCAAGTTTTTCTTCGGTTTATAGATTTTTGTTCGTCTTATTCTAGTTAAAGGATGTTGCATTTTGGGGAAAAGGTCTTTGGGTTTATGGCATAATTCAGAACCCAGGCAACTAGGGTTTCCGGGAAATCGTGGATCACCTTTTTAAGTTGTCACAAATATTTCTCATTTGATTTGTTTTTTCCATGCTGTGATCTTATTCGGTTTTGCTTGAAGCTAATGATGATGCTTAATTAGACATTTGAGTTCAAGGTGGTTTCAGTTTTTGGTTTGTTGCTTAGCAACTCGGGGTTAACAATTATTTTCAGTTACATAAAATTTCCACGATACTTGTGTTAAAACAATGTCAAAATTCTTTTTCCCAACTTCCCAGGTGAACAGATTTACTGAAATTTAATATTTCAAGCAGAAATAGGCACTTGTTTGTTGTGACTTGTCTATAACATAAAAGGATGCTGGTGCACCTTGTATGACTTGTGTTTCGATTCAGTTCAGCTCAACTCATATGATGCTGCACAGTTGCTAGGGTTTATGCCTTATTTTCTTTAAAGCAGTTGAATATTGTTAGGGCTCCTTTGTACTCTGTTTTTTCCCTCTGTACCTTGTGGTGAAATATTTAGCAAGATTCTTTTTTGAATATATGATTATTTCCTTCTATATAGGAATGGCCACGCAAACTGCTACCCCTTCAGCTGAAGCTCCTAGTGCCCAAGTGATTGGAAATGCTTTTGTTGAGCAGTACTACCATATTCTTCATCACTCCCCTGAGTTGGTTCACCGGTTTTACCTGGACACGAGTGCATTAAGTCGCCCAGAATCCGATGGTGTGATGACAACTGTGACAACCATGAAAGTATGTTTTCCGAGAATTAAGTTGACATTGGAATATAATTTCCAAATTTTCCTCTAAATTAGTTCTTTCGTCTATTCTTTTCTTTGGTGAATTTGAAATTCAAAAGCTCACATACTAGATGTGCAACAATTTTTTTGGCACAATAACTTTTGGAAAAGTCATCTGACTTTGAAAACTGTATATTTAGAATAATTTCACAATACATCCAACTATGCAAAGCTGTATATGCATATCTATGTAATCCTTTGCTCCCTCTTTTCTTAGAAGACTCACATTCTTCCCTTCTCTTCGTGTCATGTCAGGATATGATGCATCATGCATTCTGAGTCTGTTTTGACATTTTATGCACAATATCATATAGTAGTGAATAATAGTTAAAACTGCACAAATCTTTTACACCCTACTTTCAAACAACAATAGCTAAAACTAGCATTCCAATCTTCATTGTGGCTTGACCTCCTAAAACCACTAGGGCCTGGTTTACACCTTTATCTTCACTTAAGGTCTAAAGCAAAAGAAAGACACAAGCTAACACTAACTCGTGAATTAACTTTATGATGAAGGTAACAAAATGTGAGGGTTTTATGAGGTTTCCTAGAACATATGGTTGTAGCTTCTTTCTTCATTTTTCCTCTTTATTTTTGGTTTTGTGCAGTGGAGGATTGAGTAGACTCTAGACAGTATTTGATATTCATGTTTACTGTATTTAGCATTAGAGAAGGTAGTGGACTTGTTAAATAAGAGTTAAATAAAAAGTTGGAGAGAACACATAGCCTCCTTTTCCCCAGGACCAACAAGGACTAGCAAGGCCCTAGTAGAAGGCTCGTACAATGGGGTAATGTTGCTGCTAATCTTTAAACATTTAAAGGTTCAAGTTTTAACAAACAGTTACAGGCTAAGCACTGAAGGAAACATACCACATAGCTTTCAAAGAGATCAAATTCACTTAAATTTGTATCTTCTTAATTATCAACATATTTTTTTTAAGGATTAAAAAACTACAAATAATATTACTCACTAAATTTTCTTAGAATGCTGTTCTTTATTCCCGGTAAATAAAATAATTGGAACTTTATAATACGGTATAGAGCCAAAAAAAACTTGATGCACAATCCTGTTATCACTATCAGGGACTGCTGAAGTTATCTGATTTCTATTAATAGCCTTCCGTGCCATTTTAAAGTCTTTTATGAAGCTTAATTTTAACTATATATTGTATTAAGTTCTTTTGTTATTATACCTGCCCATTAACACCCTTAATTTGAATTTTTTTCTTAAGGGGCCAACTTTTAGCCTATGTTTGGTTCGGGATGAGTTGTTTAAGAAAGGTAGAAAAGATGTATCAGTATATATCACCTAGTTTGATTGGAGTGAAAAGTAGATGAAAAAATGTCCAAGAAGCTATTGTCCGGGTCCGGGCAAGTTTTCTTTTACTCGGAAACGAACATGGACTTCATCAGAATGTATATAATATAAGAAGCAGGAATCATACAATTTCTTGTATCACATCTTATTCATCCTCTTTCTAACTGTAAATTATAAGGACTTAATCAGATTCTACAGCTTTCCCTTAATTTTGTCAAAGAATCAATTCTAGAGCTGCTGGGCTTAGTTAAACATTTGTATTTTCTCGCAAGTATTGACCAACTTCATCTGATCCCGATGACAATGTAACAAAATAAGTAACATAAGCCTGGCGCTAATTTCATGTTGGACCAGGATATCGATGATAAGATATGTTCCTTGGACTACAAGAACTACAAGGCAGAAATAATGACTGCTGATGCTCAGGACTCTTATAAGGATGGAGTGATTGTGCTTGTAACTGGGTGCTTGACTGGAAAGGACAATCTGAGAAAGAAATTCACACAAACCTTTTTCCTTGCTCCACAAGACAAAGGATATTATGTTTTGAATGATGTCTTTAGATATGTTGGTGAGAGTGAATCAGACACCAGTGCAGGGGAAATTATTGGAATTGATAACACACCACCTTCAGATTCTCTGACCCCGGATCCAGGTTTGCTTTGTCATTGCACATCATTTTGCTTTCTTTCAATGGTCTTAGATCATTTTTGTTTGGAGTTAGTCGGCATTTTATTTTTTATTTTTTTTCAGAGCCCGCTCAAGTATTGGATCTTCCCAACCTGAACCAGGCTACTTCTCAAAAAGAGGATGTCGAAACTGTTGAGGAGAAAGCTGATGACCTAGTAAATGATGTGATGCAAGTTAGTAACGATGATGTTGATATTCTGGTGGTAGGTGAATCTCATTTGGACGAGAATCACATATCCTCAGTTGCAGAATCAGCTACTTCCTCCTCCCAAGAGGATCCTCCAAAGAAGTCATATGCTTCAATTTTAAGTTCACAATCAAAGATGGGGCCAACCAAAGTTTATGTACCTGCTAATACGTTGGGGGTGGCTCCTACAATAACTGAAAAGCGGTCAATTGATTCAGCTGTGACTGCTTCAAGCCCTGAACCATCAAGCCCAACTGCACCTGTTAATGAGCCGGAAAGTCACGATACCGAGGATGAAGGTATTAGTTTATGCTGTTGTTTTACGAGGAGGGCTCATGTTAAGTTCCAATCTTCGTTTATGAAGGAATTTGCCTTTTTTGGTTCATCTGTCATGGACCCTAATAATATTTGTGATGAGGGAAGAAAAATAATCTTAAAAAAAGAAAAATGAAAATTTTGAGGTGTGAAGCAATGTTGAAAATTTTCTTTTTGTTCCCTTTCTTGAGCGCTTATTCCGAAAATGTGATTTCACCTTGATTGCTTCATTATCTTGCAGTTGAGGGTCACTCAATTTATATCCGCAATTTGCCTCTAAATATAACGGTTGCTCAGCTTGAGTCAGAATTCAAGAAATTTGGACCTATTAAGCAAAATGGGGTCCAAGTCAGAAGTAACAAGGTTGGTTCTGTTGACATCTTACTTCTGTAGTTTGTTCCACCTGGCTCAGTACATTACCCTTATCTCATCTATTTGCAGCAACAAGGATTCTGTTTTGGTTTTGTTGAATTTCAAGAGTTCAGCTCCATGCAAAGTGCAATTCAGGTTTGTGTGCTTCAGATTCTTGTCTCACTTCCTTTTTGTTTTTTTATTAGTTCTTAGAATTCGTCAAGACTTCAGTATGAAGTTATTACTTAGCTGAAGAATAAAGTAACTATCACCTTTCTATTTGTTGTATGGTGAATGATCTTAGATAAAGTAAAATGGAGCAGCTTTAAGTTTTCTCGTGTTTTCCATTTCAATGGGGTTGATTTTAATATCAGAAAATTTAGCTATTTTGTGTTCTTTTACTATTTTCTGGCTTCGCCCTGGTCATCAACTCCATGTGGCCTCGACGCTGGAGAAAAATTAGGAAGAGACGTCCTCATGGGCTGAAATTCCTTTCTGATTGAGCACTTTTCTATTTTTCTATTGATTGAAAGTATTTTATGGAGGTGACGGATGTCAATAATGCATGCCATTTTTGTCTTGATTACCTTACACGAACATTTGTTCCACTGTGCTGTCAAAGCTAAACTAATAAAATCCTACTTAGAGAGCAATAAAGATTCTGCTATAGAAGGGGAGTAAAAGAAATAACACATCTATACCCATAATTTGCACATCCTCTGTTTCAGATGTATGCATGTATTTATGTAGGTCTGGCCCAGACATGCAAGCATGCATAGTGGCTGTTTGCACCTTGTGGCAAACGTGTATCCTAGCTCTGATCATTTTGATATTTAAACTTCCTTTAGCTGGGCTGGTTGCTTTTTCTCTCCCATAATTAATTCAAGCCATAGGGCCCTATCCATTTATTCATTCGACCAACATGATTTTGTACCGATCCGATAAAAATGAAATAGAACTTTCCATTGATACGACGTGCTAATTTTTCCATTCATTCCTAACTTGAGGGGTGGTGATCTAGTAGCAGTGGTGGCAAAGTGGTTTTGTTACCTAAGAGTTGAGGTGAGGTGAAACTACTTAGTAGGTGGAACCTAAAGATTTGACAAATTGTTGTCACTTACCAGTTAAATGTTCCAACATCCCCGCCCTTGTTGGTTAGGTCGGCCACAGAGTGTATTCCTTACTATCATTTACTTAAAAGTGTTAAATGCTTGTGCTTTAGCTTCCTAAACTTGCACAATTTTAATTTCGTGGCACTTTGTTTTTGCATGTATAATGTGATCATTTTCCTATTATTGAACTTGTTATCAAGAATTATTCCTCCATTTATTCACAATAATAATATTGAGACGATTACAATTCAGGCTTCACCCATATCTATTGATGATCGTCAAGCTGCAGTTGAAATAAAGAGGACTAGGACTCGAGGTAACTTAAAAAGATATTTAAGTTTTCCATTCTCTGTAGTGATTCAAGATCAAGAAATATTCTGTCTAGAAGAGCATTTGTAGGATATACTTTTAGGAAACACAGATTTGCTCGTTATGATATAACAATTGTTTCTGTTACAGTTGGTAGTGGGAGGGGCCGTTTCACTTCTGCTCGTGGTGGCTTTCGAAGCAACAGCTTCAGGGGTCGTGGAAATTTTAATCCTGGCCGGGCCTATGTGAGAAGCGATAGTTTCAGGGCTCGTGGGAACTTTAGCATGGGACGCGGTGGAGAAGGTTATCAAGGAAGAGGGAGAGGTGGTCATCGCCAGAATGCCCCTTCAACGTAAAGTTTTGCCTGAGCTATATTGGTGGCAATTTTGACATTTTTTCGTTGCCCATGTTAGCACCTTAGCTGAAACAGTAAAAAAAGTTAGTCATGTAGTTTCTAGAATCCTATATTTTGGGATTGCCTGAAAATGAAGTGGCATTTCGTGTAGTATTTATCATTCTTTCTAACAAAGTTTTGTGCATGGAGTACTGGACTTCAGAGTAGAGAAATATAACTTGTGCAATGCAACAAATGCTTGTTTTCTATTGATGGAAAAAAGTTTTCATTTTTACATGAGCTTTTGTAATTTTTTACCATAAACCGCTTCATGGAAAAACACAGAAATTCTTGAACCACTCCAACCATGCATATGTTGGATGTCCCAAGGAAAATACAAGTTTCTTGCAGATTAAAACAGCCCTATTCTTTGTTCTCTTATTGAACATCAACAACTAGAAAAGTGATTGATACAAGCATGGAAAACAAATATCTGCATTCTTCTGCAGAATCATCAGTGAACCCCCTAATCTAGGGCATCTCATGGAAAAATGGGGGAAAACTGTACTACAATTTACAAGCAACTACAATTTAAGACCTGAACTGAACTGACCTAATGGCAGTCGAAGAAGACACCCAAAAACACTTCTCCCATAAAAGTGCTGGGTCATAAATTACAAGTGGACTTGCCTTTCTATGGATTAAGCCTTGTCAATATAATAATACCTCCATATGTAGCTAAAAGGATGGGGGATGCAGTTGTTTTAGTCGTCTTACGACTTGCTTCATTGTGGGCCGGGTAGAAAGAGTATCAACTGTACATACAACTGCCAAGTGCAAGATTTCTACCAAATCATCATGTGGGCCTCCATCCCACAACCCTGCAGTAAAGAACTCCTTGGCACGGCCTTGGCGCAAGAGCATGCATGCCCAAGTGACTATGTTAAATCCGTTTCCATAGGAAGAGAATGAAGGATCTAATGCTTTCTTGTCTGACATCAATTCAAGCAATACAACACCATAACTATAGACATCTGCCTTGTCAGAAACCCGGCAAGTCATTGCATACTCTGGGGCAACATATCCAAAAGTTCCAGCCACACCAGTGGTGGCATGAGTTTCAGAAGTTCCAAGTAGCCTAGCCAGTCCAAAATCAGACAAATAAGCGTTGTAGTCCTCATCCAATAAGATATTGCTAGGCTTCACGTCGCGATGAAGAACCCTTGGCACACACTGATCATGTAGGTAGGCAAGTGCACGTGCTATGTCCAAAGCAATCTTGTGAAGTACCCTCCAGTCTACAGCCCTCGTCGACCTTTCCTGGATAAACTTCTCTAAATTGCCACCAGGCAAATAATTGTAAATAAGAAACATCTCTGTCTCACTAGCATGATATCCTATCAAGGTCACAAGATTCGGATGGTGGAGCCTTCCCAGGGTTCTGATTTCTGCGTCAAACTGTTGAACACCTTGAAAACGTCCGAGTGCAAGCCGTTTTATCGCAACTAGCACTCCTGGAGCAACCTCAGCTTTGTATGTTGCTCCAAACCCCCCATTACCAATGCAGTTGCTTGCATTGAAACTTCCGGTGGCACACACCACATTCTCAAATGTCAGTGGAACCCCAATGTCAGTAAAGACAATAACTTCCTTCCTAGCAGTTCCACTAACTCTGGACCTCGGTTTCCTTTTTCTAGTATAAAAGAAGAGGACGATAAGAGCAAGAAGAACCGACAGAATAGCTGCTGCAGATGTTATGGATGCAATCTCAATTGAGTTAATACCACCACTCCTGCTCTCTTGGCTTGGTGTTCTTGATGGAGGGCCCGGATCTTTTGGCGAGTCCCCTATCCTTCCCTGTTGATCGGCAGAGGATGATGAATCAAGCATACGGCAGTGGTTCAGAAATGGATTTCCAAGGACACTATTGCATTTCATCAAATTATCGTTCTGAGGAAGGGGCCCAGACAAATTGTTGAAGGAGACATTAAATGATGAGAGCATGGTCACATTGGCCAAGTTCAGGGGGATTTGCCCGGATAGGTTATTGTTGTTGAGGAGGAGCACAGTCAAGTTCCTCAAATTGGTAAGATCATTCGGAATCTCACCCGATAGAGAGTTTGAAGACAGGTCAAGCACTTCTAAAGAGAACAGTTGTCCTAAGCTTGCAGGGATGGGACCACTCAGGTTGTTTCCAGCCAAAGAAAGACGTTCAAGATTCTTTATCTGGCCAAGACTGATAGGAATTGTCCCACCCAGTGGATTCCAACTCAAATCAAGAGCCCAAAGTGAAGCCAAATCATTGATGCTAGGAGGAAGAGTCCCAACAATTTGATTACGGGAGGCATCTAAGAGTATCAGAGACTTGCACATTGTGCTAGAATCTGGTGGAAACGCACCAGAGAACCCGTTATTGCTGACATTAACCATCATACCACTCACTTGATCACATTTCTCAAATAAACTTCCAGGAAATGGTCCACTGAGCTTGTTTCGACCAGCAAAAAATGCATACACAGTCTGCTTCCCTAATCGTTCAGATGCAATGGTCATTGACTGCACAGTGCCTGTAAGGTTGTTAGAACCAAAATTATGGAACACCGTAAAACTAGCATCATCACCAAATAATGGCAGAGGGGTTTCGATCCTAGTTCTATATGTGAAATACGATATGTAAGCAGAAGTTGAATCATTGAATTTTGAGGGATCTCCACTTAAAGATTGGATTGGAGCACAAGCTTCGTTATTAAATTTGGGAATCGAGCCTGACAGATAATTCCCACTGATATCGAACAGAGTCATACAAGGAACAGGAATTTTGTCAAAGATCTCCCCTGTGAGTTTGTTTGAGCTCAAATTAAGGAAATGCAGCTTCTTGCAGTTGCTAAATTCCTTGGAGATTTTTCCAGAATAATAGTTCTGAGCCAAATTCAGCATCTCTAAGTTGTTGCAAGAACCCCAACTACCCGGCAACGGTCCTTCAAGAGTTGCTCTGGGAGCCCACACCATCCTCAAGCGAGGGAGCATGGTAATTTCTGCTGGAATCGTGCCTTCGTATAAATTATACTCATCGACTGTGAATGCAAACTTTCTCGTCGAGAAACTATCTCTGGAACTAGAGACATTAAGAAGTGGATCCCACAAGTTTGACAGCACAAGGACGGATAGCTTGGAACAATTCCCAAGATCAGACGGTATAGAACCGCCAAGATTATTCCTTGATATATCCAATACTTCAAGCTGACTCAGCTGACCGAGTTCACTAGGAATAACCTCCTCTAACATATTTGAGTACAGTAGAAGCGTCTTCAACCCTCTGCATTTCCCAAGACTTTTTGGGATCCCTTCAACCAAGATATTCCCAGCCAGCTCCAAACGCTCAAGCTTACCACAATTGTCCCCAATCTCACTTGGAATCGGCCCACCAAGCAGATTAAAGGACAGGTAGAGCCCCCTCAAATCTCTAAACCCACCGATAAACTTTGGAATCGTTCCATTCACTCGATTCCCAGCTAAATTCATGACTTGAAGACCCTTACAACTTGACAATGAACTCGGCATCTCCCCAGAAATCTTATTGAATCCCAGGTTAAGAACTTTCAAATTTTTCAACCCCTTAAATTGCACAGGCAGTGACCCAGAAATCAAATTCCCTTCCAGATCAAGAACCTCAAGCTTTTCCATACCCCAAATTTCAACAGGAATCTCACCGCTCAATTCATTGAAAGGCAGCGACAAAATCTTAAGTTCAGTAAGTTTCGCAATTGAAGGGGATAATATACCCAAGATTTCAACTTTACTATCGCTACCAAAACAAGGCCGTCTAATTCCGAACCCATAAAGTGGAAATTGAGAAATTCTAGCACAAGACAAAGAATTACCTCCACCAGTAATATTCAACGCCACGACCCGAGAACCCGAATCGCAAGAAACCCCTAACCAGGAACAGTGATTTTGGCTGTTTAAATTCCAGCTGACCAGCACTCCAGAAGGGTCTGAAATTGAACCCTTGAATTCCAGCAGAGCAGATTTATCCGCATCGGAACCCCAAACCGAGTGCTGTTGAACCGAAAACAACACCCAAAGGAAAATTAACTGCTTCAACGGCTTGTGCAGGCGGAACCATTTTATCATAAAAGAAAGACGACCCATTACTCAAACCCAGAAAGGTCCTCAAAAAGCTCAAGCAAAGTACGGACCCTTGTCTCCCTCTTTTAATCGACGATGAATTATAGAAAAACCCTAAACCAAATTTAGGGTTTGCTTTCGGTATTCTCTTGTTTACAAAGTCCAGAGAGAGTAAAGAGATGAGTCTTTGAGAGAGAGACAAGAGAGAAATGAGAACAGTGGTGGTTGTTCTTCTTTGAAAAAACGCGTTCTTGTTCACATTTCATTTTTCTTTGCCAGTCTTTTTTCTGTCTTTCGGTTTTCTTCCTTTGTCTTAACCTCCCTAGCGCATATGTTTGAGCCCTATATTTTTTCAGGTAGATTGTATTTTAAAATAGTAGATAAAGAATTTATAGTTATAAATAAAAAAAAAAATTACTGAGTTGCGTATAATATTATTTTATTAAATAATTTGTGATTGAAAGTGAGAGAAAAATGTATTTTAAAAAAATAGAGATCAAACAACGTCTATAAACAATTTTGAACTTAACAATGAAATAAAAATATTTTTAGTAAGCCTTATCGCGCTTAAGAATATAAGTCTTAACATTAAAAATTATTAGTATTTAATAAGTATCGATTAATATTTATATTATGACAAAAAATAAATAAATAAATAACTTTTTTAATTGTCCTACTTCATCCCAAGAAGTTACAATAATTATTTTATTCAATAATCTTTTTCTTTTTTTTACCGTTACATAGAGTTATACTCGATAACAATGCAGTCTTCGATATAGAAGTATATGTGATAACAAATTGTTTTTGTTAGGTTTACATCTTTTAGTAAATATATCAGTCGAATTTATTTCAACTTTCAAGCTCAATATTTCTCATCTTTCACTCGATCGATGACAATCTAAACATTTTCCTTTTATTTCATTTAGGTGTGTAATTAAATTAAATCTCTGTTTTCTACAAGACAAGAGTGTACTTGGGTGGATGGGTGACGGTGGTGGGATCTAAGTTGACCACCGCTCGGTCAATAAATGCATAGTCCCGTCAATTGGTGGGCGGAGGTGAGGCCTGGGGGTGGATTAACCCAGAATAGGTTTTTGATGTTGATGGCCTCAATGATATCTAAATTTCATATTATTCGTTACAAATAATTTGAACTAAATACTCAAATCGCAAATGTTACACAAACGAACCAAGAACATGTACAAAAAGAAATTTGATATTGGAGGCAAATGATCACGGCTTAAGTTCATTTTCATCCAAATTTTACGAAGCATAAAGTTCTCAACACCATTGTCCAAATCATTCCTCACGGATCAAATCCATGACCCATGAAACCACGAATAAATCAAGAAACCCATCAACGAAGAATGAATTGAGCAACAACAGAGATTTCACTGGAGAAAAATCACCAAGAAGAGAAGTGAGAACTTTTTTTAAAGAGAACGAGAGAGCACACCAGAAGAAATGAGAGAAACTGTGAGTTAGGCTACGAGTTTCTCATATAAACAAGATTGAAGCACCAGAAGTTTAACCTATACTTTCAAGGCGCAAAACTCTTTCGACTGCTTTAAATGTAAAAAAGTTGGGGGTGCCAACAGCATAACCTCAATCATTTGTTTCAAATGATACATTCAAATGATACAACCAACGCAACAAATATTTATCCCATACACAAAATGAATCGTATAACAAATAAATAATCTAGTATTCACATATCAACGAGAACTTCAAATTCGTCATGTCTTCCTCGTACCAGATAGAACATTGCATGCAGTAAGTTTCTATTCCCGGAATGTGATTTTATGATTACAGCTGCCTCCTTCTTGTAACATCTGAAACTGACTGCTCCTCGTGAAGCAGCCACGCCAAATGACAAATTTTCAACTCTTCGGGGATACGAAACAAATGGACAGAATTGTACGCTTCATGACTTGATCTCTCTTTTGTACAAGAACCATGCTATGCCAACAATGAACTGCTCCTTTAAAGCAACACTCTTGTCTGCTATATGGTCGACAGATAAATAAGCCAGTAGCTTAAATGAACGGTCACGTTAAGCAGGCCATAAGCAACCAAATATGATTGATCCGTAAGGAATATCTTTTAACAACAACGTGGCCAACTGGGGAAGGATGAAAACCATCTTGTCCAGAAGGCTTTAGGATTTGCCTCAGAAACTTGCGACTTCAACTGCGGTTTTGCACTAACCACCTTAGACGAGTCAGTTTTTTCACCATCATTTACCAATCTGAGACAAAATATAAGGGGTCACATATTGCTTCCATTGGAATTTTGCAAGCTTAATACAGAAGAGACCACATTTTGTTATTAAGAGGAAAAACCATACTAGAAGAAGGAAAAAAATGGTCAGCTTGACAAAAACATGAAGTATAACTTCACCAGAACGAGAAATCGCAAGGCAGAGGAGAGTACCATGATGAAAGGAGGTGTTGTGGAGGATCACAAATAGACAAGACTAGAGAGAATTCATCATTGACATGCTTCTTTCTTAAATTATGACCAACATACACTCATTTAAGAGTTTCAAAACGGATGAAGCATTGTTTATATGTGTGTGTAACAAATCAAATTTACAGCTCTCGTCATCTGAGTAAAGACTGGTTAGTGGAAGCCCATATCCACAGAATCTAAAACAAGGGCAACAGATCAATTTCTCTTCAGAGTAGTAATCACAAAATGATAGATTCTAAAGGTAATTCAGTAGGGATGCCACGATATTTCTTTCCACATTGAATTTGGCCAATTCATTCAATGATATTAGATGTGAAGTCCTCCATGTGTGCACAAATTGAGTTTCGTATGCTTCTAAGGAAGATATGTAATAAAGATCGCAAATGAGAGTACGGGTCAGTCTATGTGCATTACATTTTTCAAATCAATTTATTAGATACACGTATAGACATGTTTCTAAGCTTTGAGACTCTAGAAAAAGATCTTACACTGGGAATGCAAAAGAACAGCCGCTGTTTCCACTCTCATCAGAAAGGCGAGGGAGACTTGGTGAAGTGAGAGGGGCACCTGATGAAGTAAAAATAGCCTCAGCAGGAGGCGTACCTTTACCGTCTCCTGCATTAGAGGCAGTAGCAGGAGGAGGGATTTCCTCAACAGGAGCTATATTTGCCTCTCCGTGATTATCTACAGTTTCCACTGGGGCTATCTTCAGGCTATTACTGTGATCTTCTTTTATAATACTAGACATCTTCCCCAATTTTACACTATTTTCTTGATGTCCTGGTACTTCAATAACCGGGGGAAGGCTGGAAGGGAAGCTGTTTAACTCATTAGATCTGGCTTCGGGAAAATATTGAAGATTCGACGGTGAATTGTTCCACTCTTCTGTCCTGGGGAGTTCTCCAGACTTGCCCAGAAGAATTGCTTGATCTCTAGAGAAGCTGTTATTCCCCATATGGATACTAAACAATGATTCATTTGATGTAACACTCCATGCCATAGCTGATGTAGGTTTAGGAGAAAAAACAGATGACGGAATACGATTTGGATCATAACCTGCAGGACGCCCCATTGTTTGGACTGGAGGAGATTGCATTTGAAATGTACTATTGGTGTTCCATTCTAGATACTGGTTTGATGTTCTTGGTGACGATAGAAACCCAGCTTCAGCACGTGGAGAGGCACTTATCATGCTCCAGTTAGGTGTCTGATCAGAAACATATGGTGATGATGATAATAAGGGTTCTGGTTCAGATGGCAGAGGTCCTTCATGTCCCGTTTTGGCAGAGTAATCATCAAGATGATCCCTTTCACCAGAATTTAATTCCAGTGAAGAACTAGAAGAAGAAAATACAGCAGAAGAAAAGCCTGAAGCCTTTGCTTCCAAAAGTAGTTTGCCATCTTCATGCCTAACTTCAGAGTTTTTCTTTACATGCTCATTGCTTCCACTCACATATTCAGATTCCATAGCTCATGGGACTAATCAGGTCCTCAGAGATTTCTGGTATCTCACGTGATTGATAGTTAGTACTTCACAATGAAGAGAAAAGAACAACATTAACAAGTGAACTAGGACAAATAGGAAGTTGCAATAAAACAATATCATCAGTTAAAATCTTGCACAGGAGATAAAAGAATATGTTGATATTTTAAGATTCATTGAAAGCCTGGCAATTTCCCATCCCGTGTAATTTCATATAGAGTACATGAAAAGAAAAGAAATTTTAAGATTCACTGAAAGCCTGCCAATTTCCCATCCCGTGTAATTTCATATCGAGTACATGAAAAGAAAAGAAACACTAATTTGTAAATTACTGAAAGATTCTTGCGTTACTTAGTTTTACACCTACTAAACCTATGTATGTACATCTATTTTTTGGTTCTACACTTCTGCTGTCCTCTAACAATTACTAAAAAGGCTCCGGACAAAACATGACAGAAATTTAAAATATAGTGAAAGGAGGAAGAATGTTTACACTAACTCACATTATGCAATCCATTTTAACAAATAACTTGTGTATAAAAGGGACTCTTACGAAGTTCAGGAGACTATTCATCGGGAGATTATGACCTCTTGCAATTAAAACATAGTAATTAATTCCAGCAAAATACAGTGGACATGGGGTCAATGAAGAAAAAATGCAGTTTACCTATTCTGTCTCAAGTACCAGGGCTCAAATATTTCTGGATTGAAAGACAATAGTCATTCAAACTGAATAATGCTCAATGAGAAAGCATGGAACGTTCACCTATAATCTTTGATACATATAGGCTATTTTCCCTAAAAGTTTGGCATTGGAGATCATTCAATTTTCTATTTCATCAATATCAAAAAATTGGGATTTAATCTGCTTAAAAGAAGCGATTATTACATATGCAGAAATAAGTGAAAACAATTGAACGTACCTAAATTACAAATGCCGAAATGTAAACTCAAACAACACCGAGATTAAAAACCACGGAATACGCATGAACAAACTTTTGTAATTCTGAGATTACCTGAAAGGAGATGGAAATCCGGGGCACAAGGAGATCGAATTAGGGTTTATTATGGGAGAGACTTTTAGCCAGAAAAGGAGGAACAATCGGCCCTTCATGTCATTCAGATTTGCTAAGAAATTGCAATCAGCCGCACCATTTTTATGCAGCTACGCGGGAAGGTTGATATTAGACAAAGGGCGCTCGACAGAATTTTCTCTTTTTTCTTTGTACCAAAATGTAAAATCGCAAGGGTCCGTTTGATTGTAAGGGTGGAAAGAAAATGTTTTACAGGGAAAATAATTGCCTAGAAATGGTTTTCCAGGAAATTGTTAATTAAGTGTGTTTGATTGGTATAATTTTCCACCCGGAAAATTTTTGAAATTTTGGATAATTTTGTTCACGTTTGGCTTTATTTTACATAGAAATTGTCCAACAAAGTGGTTTTTTTTTTTTACAGTTGGTCATGAAATTTGTTACCATTGTCAAAAAGTAAAAAAAAAAATTTTTGCTTTAAAACTATTTTTTCACTATTATTTCATCATAATTTAGTGTTCGTTTGGTTTCGTTTTACATGAAAATTGTCCATGAAAATGAAATTTTTTTTTACAATTGGGTATGATATTTATTTCCATTGCCAAAAAAAAATCAAAAAAAAAAAAAAAATGGCCAGCAAGTTGGAATTCACTTTCCCACCTTTTAGGTGGGAAAAGGAATTCACTGATTTTGGGGAACTCAGGCGCGTGAGTGGGTGGGTAGCAAAACTTTTTCCAAGCCAAATTTTGGCTATCAAACATCACAAATGGGTGGAAATGGAATTGTTTTTCCATTTTCCATGGAAAAAGTCAGGTATCAAACAGGGCCTAAATGTTTTGTGTGGCACAATGACATCTTAGTGAAATAGAGGGACTAGACTGCAAATATCATTTACAAGGAAATAACGGGTATTTGGACAAATAATAAGTTACAAAAATTATAATACGATAAAAATGAGCGATAGTTGTGAATCATACAAAATGCGTGAATAAATTTAAAGTTCAACTTTGAAAAGTTGATTATAAGTTACTTTTTTATGTTTTCAAGTGGCACCCAATAAATTATTCAAATTTTTATAAAGGACCAAAAGCCCCAAAAAATGAAGAATAGCATTTTAAAGATATTTCTTAGGCTGTGTCTAGTTCTGATTTTTTGTAGATTAAAAATACAAAATTGATCGTTACCTTATCCATGAGGGCCCCACATGAGAGAGAGGCAGTCAACTATTACGGCTGGAACCCATAGCAACAATTAGATAATTGCTAAAATTCAAATAAAAAATTAGAAACAGACATAGCCTTAATGTAGCCATCAATGTTTAAGTGCTTCACTATCTAAATTGTCATTCTAGTTTAAAGATAAATTTTTCATATGATTAATTCAGAATATTCCTCACACTTAGCATAATCCGAAGCGATTTAAAATCAAGAAGCACATCTAAAGAACAAAAATCAAATAATAAAATGTGTAGGCACGTAGAGGATTCACAATAATTTACACCTAATTATCGGTTTATTGATATTATATATATTTTAAGAAGTATATGCTCGAGTTTTTAGACCCTTGGCCTACTCGGACGCTACGGGGACTCGAGTTTAAGAAGTATGATTCAGTCTTTCTTGTTGTTTGTTCAACTTTGAAAAAACATTAATTCCAAAATTTGCTTAATAATTGTCGTGTTAATGACCCTCAAAAATCAGGGTTCCTTTTTGTAAATATGCTGAAAGTCGAGGGCAATGGATGTGCAAAAGAAGTTAGGGTTAAAAATTGATATCATACGTTATCCATAATCTTTGAAGGGTGGAGGAGTTGCACCCTAACTCCTATTTCAATATTCTATCACTGAGAATTCTGAGCCGTGCCATAAAGAATGGTGAAGCTGCTACTAAGCCATAGGGTTCAAAAATTTTCTGGCAAATTCTATCCACAATTTGTATATGCCACTAATAAATTCCCTGCAGCAATCTTTCATTTAAGGTCACAACATGTTCTTACTTCACCAAGTTTTGCAACTTTCCAAAATCTTAATGCTCGACTAAAACGCAGTTTTATAAAGGTACGTGTAGTGTCCACTTTACCAAATATGACATAAATGTTGTGCATTATGGGTGATTTGCTTATTTCAGGTTTGCGCGATGAGAAGGAGAAGGGCAGGTATGCAGACAGATACTTATGTCTTAATGGAACCTGGTAAGGATGAAGAATTTGTTTCTGAGGACGAACTCCAAAGTAGATTGAAGGGTTGGCTAGAAAATTGGCCTGGGAATTCACTACCGCCTGATCTTGCAAGATTCGAGACTATTGATGATGCTGTACGGTACCTAGTCACGTCTGTATGTGAACTTGAAATCGATGGAGATGTCGGTTCAATTCAATGGTACCAAGTTCGTTTGGAATGAATAAATCCATGTATAGGAAAGTACGTTAAAATCTTGCTCATTGTTCAAATTGTGTATCAAACGTGCACTTACATAATAGAAACTGAGTTTCTCTTGTTCAAGAACTTATGCATCTATAGTTCTATACACCAATCACACCCAACAGATAACAAAATCGAGAATCATTGGCTCATCTCATGAACACATCAATTTCGGAATGAACCCAAATCCTGAAGTTTAAGAGCTTGAATCTGCAGTTCACAAGACAAAAATAGTCATTACTATTAAAGGATGAATCACACATCGGACAATTACCAAAATAAAGACCAATGTATTAGGACTTGAGCTAATCATATGGTGTCGAGCTTATTAAACTCCAAATGAGAAATTTGATTCTAGTAAGACTAAAAATGAGCATACGAATTTCAAGATTGATCTGCTAAAATGAGTCATATCTTGTGGGGCATATTAAGGAATGAATCCCATACCTTATGCTGATTTGTAGAGGGTGGTAGGATCTTGCTTCCCCTTCTACTTCTAGCAAGAAGTACTCTTGTAACAGGGGACATCAGTCTATCAGTTGGACTAGTATACCTACCAAAACAAAGTATAAAGTTACCAATCACAATTCGTAAAACTTCATAAAAGTACCTGAAAAGTAAGAGAAATTCAAGTACTTTTCCGGGTATTTGAACGCCTTGGGGACCTTAAGTCGTTCCGGGGTGCCGGTTTTGCCGGAATTGCAGATAGGAGGAGTCTGTGATTTCTGGTTTTGAGGGGGTGAGTTTTGGTCTGGAATAGAGTTTTCTGTTTGAATTGTGGGAGTTTTAGGAGGGGTTTCTATTGTTTTCTCCATTGAGTCTGTAAATGTAATACTACAACACGGATGTTTGAAGAAATTAATGAATGAATTAAGAATTCAAGTGACATTTTATAGATTTTGAGGTGTTTGTTGGGGTGGGGGGGGAGAGAGAGAGAGAGTTGTCGAATGTGACCGTTTGAGGATTATGGATTCCAACGGTCCATTATTTGGGTGTCAATAGTCAAAAGAGAAACAATGCCGTGCCAAACTTAACGGGAAAAGAAAACTAAATCCCGTTTCTTTATGAAAGAAAAAAAGAGAAAGGAAAAAAAAAGTGAAAAACATAACCAAAAAGGAAATAGAGAAAGTTCTTGTTTTACTTTATTTTGGATATTGAATTTTTAGGTGAAGGATATCGACTAAATCTTTTTCTTTGGTAACTTCATTAAAAAAAAAAAAAGGATATAATATAATTAGGTGTACAATCAAGTGATAAAAAAATGATCGAAAATGTAGTTAAAGATCATTACAAAGTAATTCATCCATATATATAACTACAGAAACGATAATGGATATCAATTATACAATATACAAATAGTCAATAATCAAATTCTTGTTTGGTATAACTATATATTACCTTTGACTCTACTATATCCACCTATGCCTGCTTTGATACGGGCAAGTAGCAGGACAACATATCAAGCACTGCGAAGTTATTTGTATTGTCTTGAAAACTTTGCTTGTCGTCATTGGTTCACGGACGAGCGGTCATTTGGTTATGACTAACATCATCAAATGGGAATCAAGCGCTTTAATCGATAAACTTGAGCTCTGGAACTAAAATTATGAATGATGAATGCATCTGCTAGCAGTTAATTTACGACCACACGAATGATCTTAAAAGGTTAGGGATAAAATCTACAATTAAGGGTGTGTTTGATCCACATTATTTTGGAAGAATGTATTCTGAAATGGTAGATTGATGGAGAATTTGTGGTTGAAAAAGAAGGAAAAGTTATTGATGTGATGGAAAATATTATTTTATTGAAGAATGTGTGGTTGAAAATGAATAGAAGAATGTGAATGAAACTTTTAATGTGTACCAGTCTGTAAATGTAATACTACAACACAACAACACGGATGTTTGAAGAAATTAATGAATGAATTAAGAATTCAAGTGACATTTTATAGATTTTGAGGTGTTTGTTGGGGTGGGGGGAGAGAGAGAGAGAGAGAGAGAGAGTTGTCGAATGTGACCGTTTGAGGATTATGGATTCCAACGGTCGATTATTTGGGTGTCAATAGTCAAAAGAGAAACAATGCCGTGCCAAACTTAACGGGAAAAGAAAACTAAATCCCGTTTCTTTATGAAAGAAAAAAAGAAAAAGGAAAAAAAAGTGAAAAACATAACCAAAAAGGAAATAGAGAAAGTTCTTGTTTTACTTTATTTTGGATATTGAATTTTTAGGTGAAGGATATAATATAATTAGGTGTACAATCAAGTGATAAAAAAATGATCAAAAATGTAGTTAAAGATCATTACAAAGTAATTCATCCATATATATAACTACAGAAACGATAATGGATATCAATTATACAATATTCAAATAGTCAATAATCAAGTTCTTGTTTGGTATAACTATATATTACCTTTGACTCTACTATATCCACCTATGCTTGCTTTGATACGGGCAAGTAGCAAGACAACATATCAAGCACTGCGAAGTTATTTGTATTGTCTTGAAAACTTTGCTTGTCTTCATTGGTTCACGGACGAGCGATCATTTGGTTATGACTAACATCATCAAATGGGAATCAAGCGCTTTAATCGATAAACTTGAGCTCTGGAACTAAAATTATGAATGCTGAATGCATCTGCTAGCAGTTAATTTACGACCACACGAATGATCTTAAAAAGTTAGGGATAAAATCTACAATTAAGGGTGTGTTTGATCCACATTATTTTGGAAGAATGTATTCTGAAATAGTAGATCGATGAAGAATTTGTGGTTGAAAAAATGGAAAAGTTATTGATGTGATGGAAAATATTATTTTATTGAAAAATGTGTTGTTGAAAATGTGTAGAAGAATGAAAATGAAAATTTTAATGTATACCAAACAGATGCTAACTTTAGCCACGCATTTTACGAAACGTGTAACTTTTATCAACTTTTTAATCACATATCTAATCAATTTTGATTAAAATATATTGATACATATATCAAAAACTTTGTCAAACAATCCCTTAACATATTAAAGATTTCTTTATAACTAACAAATAACTTTGAACAACACATTTTCATTTAGTCAAATTCAAGTGTTTGACTTTTCAAATAACTGTTGGGATATATTCTAAATCGCCACTGGTCAATTATTATTATTATTATTATTATTGAGATTTTTTGGGTCGATTTTCAAATTACTGTTACATCCTCAAACATTGGCGCACGCATAGTATCATTGTCGACATCCATGCGGTTAAGTTAAAGAAAGTTCCGTGCCAATTCAAGATTGGGTTTAGGTAAATGATGCAGTAATCCATTGTCTTTATCTTTGTTAATGGTCGAGAAGATAAAGAAAGAATAGTAAACAAACATAAAGCAGAGCCGCCTGAGCACGACTGAATTGACTTTTTATGACAAGTATGAAGTATTTTCCACGAAGACTGGGAATGGCAAGTCACCATTCAAACAATTACTTCCAAAAAATCATTATATGTAAGTAACATAACGAAATTTTTGGTATAAACAGTTTTTCTACGGTCTCAGAAGATTCATTACTCCAAACGGGTCAGATATATCTTCTCTATTCTTGAGATTTCTTCATTGCAGCTTCCTACGGGTGATATTAGTGTGTAACTTTACATTTTTGTATGTGGGTTTGTATTTTCTCTTAAAGAAATATAGAAATATATCGAAATTGGCTTGCATAGTTTTGATTTTCTTATTTTGGGATTGTGTATTACCATTAGTTGGTAGTGTGGGTTGCATGTGTTCGATTTTGTTCCGCTGAGGGAAGTGGTTGGAGATTTGCGGGACTTTTGAAGTAATTTGACGATGTATGATATGGGGGGCTGTAAACCTATCGCACCAGAATTGGAAGCAGAAAAAGATTTGATTGCTGCAGCTCAGCAAATTGTGAAAGAATTGGGGAAGAATAGGAATTTGACGGATGATGCTTGGAAAATATTGGCAAATCTAGGGTTACAATTGGTTAATATTGCTGAAGTCAATGAAAGCAAAGATAAGGCGGATTTTGAAGAGGACGAGGGACTTAATGACATTGAGCAGCAGCTTGACGGGATTCGTGATAAGATCATGGATTGGGAGAAAGACGAGTCTATGATATATGATCGTGGGCGTGAAGAAGCTTACGAGTATCTGAAGGTTGTGGACCAAGTTCAAAAGTTGAGTAAGAGCTTGGAGCATTTGAGTCTAAATGGCTGTTGCAATGCCCATGCGCTCCTTCGCAGGGCTCATGACCTTCTTCAAACGGCAATGGCTAGGGTCGAAGAGGACTTTAGGCACTTGCTCGTACAAAACCGGCAGCCTTTTGAGCCAGAGCATGTGTCTTTTCATTCGAATGAAGAGGATATTGTGGAGGCAAGTTCCATTGCTTCCTCCGGGGACGATTCTGTCGAAGATGTAGTTCAGAGAGATAGTATGAGCCAACGCTTGGAGGATTGTGTATTTGAATGGGTGCATCTCGACGTGATTCCTGACCTAAAAGCGATTGCTAAATTGATGTTTGACTCAACGTACGGTCTGGAATGTTCTCAAATGTTCATCAATGTTCAAAGAGATGCTTTAGATGACTGCCTTTTCATCCTTGAAGTGGAGAAATTGAGCATCGAGGATGTATTAAAGATGGAATGGAATACACTGAACTCGAAAATCAGGAGATGGACGTGGGCTGTAAAGATTTTCGTGCGGGTTTACCTTGCCGGTGAAAAATTGCTCAGTGATCAGATTTTTGGAGAGCTCGATCCGGCTAGTTCTGTTTGCTTTGTCGAGTCGTCAAAACCTGCAATTTTGCAGCTTCTCAATTTTGGGGAAGCCATAGCCATTGGTCCCCATCAACCTGAAAAGTTGATTCGGATTCTTGACATGTACGAGATGCTTGCCGATCTTATTCCAGATATCGATGCTTTATATTCTGATGAATCCGGGTATCATGTTAGAACAGAATGCCATGAGACCTTAAGGAGATTGGGGGAATGTGCTAAAGCTACCTTCCTTGAATTCAAGAATGCCGTTGCTTCCAATGTGTCGGCCAATGCTTTTCCTGGAGGTGGAGTCCACCATCTCACTCGTTATGTTATGAATTACATCAAGACTCTTCTGGATTACAGCAAGACACTTGATTTTTTTCTGAAGGACGAAGATGAAGATTCCATTTCAGTTTCTCCAGGCACGAGTTCAGTCGGTGAAGAGGAAAGTGTTGGTAGAAGCTCATGTGCTTCTCCAATGGCTATGCACTTCCGAGCCCTCGTTTCTATTTTGGAGTGCAATCTTGATGAGAAATCTAAGATGTACAAGGACGAGTCGTTACAGCACCTTTTCCTAATGAACAACATACACTATATGGCGGAAAAGGTTAAGAATTCAGAACTCAGAGCAGAACTAGGCGATGCATGGATTCGGAGACAAAATAGGAAATTTCAACAGCAAGCAATGAGTTATGAGAGAGCTACTTGGAGCTCAATCCTCGCATTACTCAAGGATGAAGGGATCCAAAATCCTGGCTCAAATTCAATTTCGAGGACAATTCTCAAGGAGAGACTGCACAGCTTTTATCTTGCTTTTGAGGAGGTCTACAAGAGCCAGACGGGATGGTTAATACCGGATAGCCAACTTCGAGAAGATGTGAAAATCTCTACATCGCTCAATGTAATACAGGCTTATAGGACGTTTGTAGGACGACACATTTATCATATAAGCGAAAAGAACATCAAATACACAGCTGATGATTTACAGGATTATCTCTTTCAACTTTTTGAAGGATCCCAAAAATCATTGCATTTCTCCCACAAGAAGTGATTATTGGCCTTGCCCTTTTTAGTTTCTGTAGTATAGGTGGTAAAAAGATCTCCATTTTTGTGATTTCTTGTTTTCATTTATTCTTGTATTCGAAGTTTGACATTATGTATGAGCACATATCAAATATTTTTTTCCGTATTACCGATTGCTTATCCATTTGTTACTAGTTATAATTTTTATCATAATGTTGTAAGAAGGTTTCCGGTTTCATTGGTTTGAAAATGAATTGGGTAAATAGCAGAAAACGTCCATTACATTTCACTTCTTTTGCAACTCCTTCCCAATCTTTTTTTTCAACAATTAGATCCCCAACCTTTGATAAATTAGCAAAATTTATCCAAATGTATGGTTCCATACATAATTTGTTTGTCAACGGATTTGATCAGAATATTGAAAATTTTTAAAGGTAAAATTGCCATATTTAATATTCTTAGTCGAATTATTAAAAAAATAAAATTCAGACAAAAAAACAGCAGAATTCATCTCAGATAGATTTATGAAGAATGATGGTGATGCTCAAGTTTTTCACCTTGCCTTTAGGTTAAAAATGGCGTTTGTATACAGAATTGGCAATATGCTGAAACAAAATCTGAGCAAGCATGTTAACTCCATCGCTCTTTAAGGTGATAAGAAGCATGTCGTCTCCAAAGCTCTTTGTTGGAGGTGAAAGAAGTTCTGCATTTTGTGAGGAATTGACTGCTTATTACACTTCTTGAGATTATTCTTACTTTCTACTGCAGTTCTCTCATGGAGCACGGATGAAATGAGCCTGAGGGAGGCTTTTTCTCAGTATAGAGAAGTGGTTGAAGGTCTCTGATTCTGAAAAAAAGATCTACATACTGTCAATTTGTGATCAATGGAACTCTTACTCTTCTTTTTCTTGCCGCTAGAGTTTTCTTGAATCATGAGACTGGTAGGTGGAGAGGATTTGGCTTTGCTACATACACATAAACTGAAGAATCTTAGAATGCTACCCAGGCAATGGATGGGAAGGTAAGAGTGTTGGATTTTGATATCCATAAATCCCGAACGATGATGTTAAACCGATGTTGGATAAATTGAAATATTGACACCTCAATGGAACGACCCAAACCTAGAACTATTTGGGCTATTGGAGGTAGTCTAATTTAATTAGAGCTGTTCGTGGCTCATTTCCTCACTTCAGGATGGCTTATAAGTATTGGCCCATGTATTGATTTAGACTTGGCATTTTTCTCTCTATACCTAATGTACCCTATATATTTGCTACCTCATTATAGTGATGTTCACGTGTGTTATTTTTTCTTCTCTCAAAAAGAAAGAAATCGGCTGCTACTTCCTTGTCACTTTCATTCGGTTCTTTCTTCTTCCTTTTGCCTTTGTGTTTGCTTGCGTGGGTGCCTTTGTGGCTGTAATAACACCGTCACCTTGTGTCCTTTGTGGGTGCAACCATAGCAATGTGGTTCTCGGGTCGTTAATCGAGGTGGTCGATTCCAGTTAGATTGATAAATTGAGCCCGAATTCCACGAATCAAAGGTCCATTATTCTACAAAGAGCATCTTGTTGCTGCTGTACAAATATAATGAGTACTTTGATCTTTTCTCAGTAACATAAACGATTATCTCCTCCCATGAGGACTCAACAAATTTGATTGTAAGGTCAAGGCCTAAAAGAATCTTCAGACCACTGGGCTTGCTTGATGTTGAATGGTTTTTAAATTTATCTTGCTTAATGTGGACTTTGATACCTAATGTGATTCCTTAGGACCTTCATGGGAGAGCAATAAGGGTGAACTCTGTGGAAAAACCTCGCGGAGGAGGTTTTAGTGGTGGTGCTTTTATCTGTGGAGCCCTGGATATGAAGGTGGCAATTTTGGTGGTGCTGGTGATCGAAATTACCCTATAGATGGTAACTTCAATGGAGGTGGCGGCTTTGGCCGCGCTGACAATTATCCCCGTGAAGGCGATGCATTTGGTGGCAATTACAATTACCCAGCAGAGGTGGAAGCTATGATGGCAGTTGCATTAACTTCTACACTGGTGGTGAAACTGGTTTTTCTTCTGGACATATTTGTCGAACTCCACATATGCTGATAGCCAAGAACAACTGGGTGGCGATCAAGTGGAATAGAGACTGGAAGCGAAAACGACAGGGACGAGCCAAATGATTATACCAACTCCAGGAGATGAATTGTTTCAAACTTGCTTGGACACCACACACTCACTGGAGCAAATGGTTGAATTTTTTACTAGGCAGGACAATTGCATTGAATAAAGTTGCTTAACATATTTTACAGTCTTATAAATTAACTCATTATTTGATGTGCGAAATTCTTCTCACGTACCATTACTCAAGTTTTTCGCTGCCCAGAGGATGCAACAAGAACAGCTACAGCCACCATAAACATGAACAACACGCTAACTAACAATGCATATGTCCTTTTCGACGACCTCGGGTACTCTCCAAAGAACAGTACAGCCCAAAATGTGCTCACAAGGGGAAGAGCCTACACAAAATTCCAAATTAGCATATCAACTGAAAATTGCTCGTGATAGCACGTAAAATTGACCGACCTGAACACAGTCAGCTGCTGCATAACCCGCAGCTTGGCCTCCCATGAATTGTAGGCCATTGCCTATGCCACACAACAGATCAGCCAAAAACGCCAAGTTTCTTCCATTCCAGTCTTTCAAATATCCTTTTATGGAGGATTTAGGCAAGTTGAGAACAGGGCGATAAAGAAATATAACGTTAAGGATTACTGCCATAATGAAAAACAAGAGGGAGAAGTAGAAGAATGCAGCATAGAAAACCAAGTGCGGAACACCCATTCTCATCACATGCCATTGATCATTTGTTGCCAAGTTAAACGCAGGTGAGAAGAGAGAGTAAGACACTCCAGCAAATAATGTTATGCTCAATCCTAACCAGATACTCTTTCCAAACACCTGATTAGCACGTGAATAAGATACTTTTAAACTAAGAAACTCCAACTCATAACGTTGTGGAAAAACAAGAAGCACCAACCTTAATCGCTCTAGTTTCCTCAAGCTCGATAATATAGTTTGCTGATCCAACTCTTGCTTTGTCCACCCTATCATTTCCATTTTCTGAGTCCATAGTGCAATCTAAGAACATAGATATCTTAGTAAAGAACTAGTTGAGCTAAAATCGAACACAACCTAAGACAATGCCACTTACCTTGATACGACACTGTTTCTAAATAACTAGGTTTCTCTGATTCCCTGACAGTAACAATTTAGGCTAATCACTGGGTAAGAAAATACCTAAACAAGCACGAAATTCTAAAGTTACGTGTTGAAATAGGAAGAAATCGAGTGTCTAACAAGAAAATTATCACTGTACCTTGCTTCTGCTTTGTTATTATTTTGCAAGCCTTGGAGTTTCTTTGCATTATCAGCTGCATTGTAGTAATGAACAGCGGAACCAAGGCAAACTGCAACAAGGAAGCATGCCACTCCAGGGAAAAGAATTTCAGCCCTGTTGATCCGATTATCCAAGAAATAGTTCAAGGTAGTACCTTTTACATTTTCACATCTCGTATTGAACATTGATCTTGTCGAATCATCAAGTGTTTGTTTGAGCCACAGATTTTGTAATAGTGATTTTTTTTGTGGGGTGGGGGTTAAAAAATAGGAAAAAGTTTTGAGGTCAAGTGTAAAATTATTTTATTGAAAAAATGCATAAGATTAGAACGAGTTTGTAAAGAACGAGTGTGTTTACCTAACCTAAAACAAAAGCTATGTTTGATGTGATAACCTCTGTCACTGAGAGGCCAGCAAAGGCAAAAGCATATTGAGTGCCAAATTCTCAACACTGAGAAACACTCCTCCAGCCATGGCAAACAATATACAAGGCTAATTATCCTGCCAGGTTTATGAAAAGAAACATCATAGGAAAAAAAATTCTTAAAAATCATAATCAGTAAATGTTTAGTCAAAACATCATTTTCCAACGATTTCCACCTACTAAACATGAAGTAAAATACCTAAAAACAGACGGACAGGGATTGTTACCTGGAAAAGTTTAGTAAAATTAGGCATATTGGTTTACTCTCCAATCTGACCCACAGTGAAAGCTATAACAACAGCAGCCAGCAAATTTGAAAGTGAATAATCCATGTATGTATGTTGGGGCAGGCGACCTCTCCTCCCCAATAATGCCAGAATTGCAGGCCATGTCCCCAAGAACAGCACTGCACACAGCATGCAGGCTATGGCTCCACCCTTACTCTCCACAACATATATTTTTAAACTAAATGGTTCCCACAATTACTCAATAAGAAGCAAAAGAGAAACAAAACCCTGATCATCAAATACAGAATTGAAAATTTATGCTAGATTTTATTGTGTTTGTCAAGTGAGTCAAGCTACAGGTACATGAATATAAATTTCTGTACCTGCGAGACTACACACATCATGGGTGAGTGGTGTTAAAAGATATAATTTTACATCGAATAAAGATATAAACATAGATCAACTTATAAAGGATTTGGTTACTCCTCTTAATAAGGTTGACCTTTTAAGATGGAACCCCAATTCTTAACATAGTATCAGAGTCCATCATGCTCCAACGAGCGATTTGATTCGGTTAAGACTCCAAAAGTGAGCATACGGATTTCAAGATTGGTTTGCTCAAACGAGCTACCATCTTGCGGGACATGTTGAGGGATATAATTCCACATCGAATAAAGATGTAAACATAAACCAATTTATAAATAATTGAGTTACTCCTCTTAATAAGGTTGATCTTTTAAGATGGAACCACAGTTCTTAACAGGCGGGAGGGAGGTTTTTGACATTATTTTAATCATGTGGGGCACCCCATGTGAGATAAATTTTAAATTTCTGTATAGATTCTGTGAAATTCATTCTGTACTCTTGAAATTCTTCTTGTCAAGTGGGGTGGACTGACGTTGGGAATGGAGAAAGGTTACTGAGAATATCTTGAAGACCACGTGGCAGTGCCAGAGCTTAAAATAGTTTCCCGTGTTAACTGGATATGGCAGCTAAAGATCGTGTAACGTTATAGTTGAAAGTTGAAACTATTTAACATGGGAAAGAAAAAGAAAAAAATTTATCACAGGGGCATTCCGAGAATTGAACTCGGGACCTCTCGCACCCTAAGCGAGAATCATACCACTAGACCAAATGCCCGTTTCCGCTTCCATTTTAATATTTAATTACTCATTTCATAAATTTATTTAGATTTTAGGTTTAAAATCTCCGACACAGATTATATTGCGGTGTCTAATCATTAAAATGCAATATTATTCTTTATTCAATTGGGCCGTTTTCTTCGATTTTTTCAGAATATAATCTAAAAAGGTTATACAAATTTGTTCAATCCAACAGTCGAACAGACCATGTGCAAACTGTGTTCACACATAAAATTCAGCTTCTACCATCTAATTACTCTTAAATACACTGCAATAATGACAATTTTTTAAAGGAGAAAACTTCACAAGAATGACCACTGTCACCTAGTTTATGTTAAGCATATGTCTTTGTTTGAATAAGAATCATGCTAGTTGATTATCAACGTTGTCCATTGAATTAATGTACATTTATTTATTGAACAATGTGACACTGATAATGATGTGACTACAATACTAATGAATATTTTTAATAGTTTGTTTACTAAGTTTTTCATTTAGACGTTGGGTGATTGATATATTTTAGTATAATTATGCAATATATTTCCTGATAAATTCATGATCAGAATTAAGATATTCATGTTTTGTATAACTATAACTATTGACCGGTGCATTCATATGATGAAGCTCAAACCCGGATCCAATTTTTTAATTAATGTCGCTATTTGAAATTGCGATTTAATGTTAAATGTTCGTTCTACACAGTAAAAAATCGTCGTTCCTCTGGACCATTGGACTTGATAGAGATCAATGGTTGGTAACAGGAGTGTAAATAGACGCCTTTGTTGCCTCAATCTTCAATGAATTCATCTGATTGTTGTGTAACCGTTTTTTAGAACTCTCTCTTATTCGTCTTCTCTTCAAATTTATTTGTTTATAAATAAGAGCGGAAGCATAAGCATATTTAGCTAAGTTTAAAATTTTACTTTAATTTTAGTTGCATGTAAGGGCTCGTTTGATTCTCATTATTGTAGAATGAGAATGAAAAATATAGTCGTTATTGGGCCCCACACAAGAGATATAAATTCAAAATTGATGGTTTGATGTGATGAATAACGGTCATATTTTTCATTTTTATGGATGAAAAATGAGAAACAAACTGAGGCTAAGTAAAAGTGAACAATTAATTCTAAAACATTTCATAATCTTTTATCAAAATCTACATATCAAAAAAAAAAAAAAAAGAATCATGCTAGTTGATTATCAATGTTGTCCATTGAATTAACATACATTTATTTATTGAATAATGTGACACTGATAATGATGTGACTACAATACTAATGAATATTTTTAATAGTTTGTTTACTAAGTTTTTTATTTAGACGTTGGGTGATTGATATATTTTAGTATAATTATGCAATATATTTCCTGATAAATTCATGATCAGAATTAAGATATTCATGTTTTGTATATCTATAACTATTGACCGGTGCATTCATATGATGAAGCTCAAACCCGGATCCAATTTTTTAATTAATGTCGCTATTTGAAATTGCGATTTAATGTTAAATGTTCCTTCTACACGGTAAAAAACCATCGTTCCTCTGGACCATTGGACTTGATAGAGATCAATGGTTGGCAACATGAGTGTAAATAGACTCCTTTGTTGCCCCAATCTTCAATGAATTCATCTGATTGTTGTGTAACCGTTTTTTAGAACTCTCTCTTATTCGTCTTCTCTTCAAATTTATTTGTTTATCAATAAGAGCGGAAGCATAAGCATATTTAGCTATGTTTAAAATTTTACTTTAATTTTAGTTGCATGTAAGGGCTCGTTTGATTCTCATTATTGTAGAATGAGAATGAAAAATATAGTCGTTATTGGGCCTCACACAAGAGATATAAATTCAAAATTAATGGTTTGATGTGATGGATAATGATCATGTTTTTCATTTTTATAGATGAAAAATATTCTCATTATTGTAGACTGAGAATGAAAAATATAGTCGTTATTGGACCCCACACAAGATATAGAAATTCAAAATTGATGGCTTGATGTGATGGATAACGGTCATATTTTTCATTTTTATAGATGAAAAATGAGAAACAAACGGGGCCCTAAATATCTACAATAAGAGCATGTTTGGCCACACTTAAAATTCAATTAAAATTGAAAATATAGCATTTATTGGGTTCCATTCGTCTAATAAAAGTCAACAATAACGGCTAATTTTTTAATTTTAATTTCTACCGAACACGCCCTAAATGATGTGCGTGTTAAAAATTGAAAATGTAGTGTGCTGTTAAAATAAATAGGCTCCTGTTGAAAAATATGGCCGTTATCCATCACATCAACTTTTAAATTCAAATTTTCTATCTTTTGTGTACCTCAATAACCACTATATTTTTCATTCTCATTCTATAATAATTTGTCTCGGGTCTAAGTATTTTACAACAAAAACAATAATAATAATAATAATAATAATAATCAAAAGTATCTTTCTTCCTTTCATTTTTTAAGCACATATTGAGATTCAGAGCTCAGCGGCTTCAGGGAGAATCTCTTGCAACAAAACTAAACCCCAATTCATACGCAGCATCAATTATCATAGAATTGAAGCTGCGGTTTGCTTTTGCCTGGAACGAGGTACTAATTTTCTTGATAATCTTTTTTTATTTTTTTTCGAAAACATTATGTAATATAAAAAGTACTTCTTGTTTTTTAATTTCAATTTTCTGTTGTGCTGTAGATTAAGATTTTTTAGAGCCGACCAATTTTGATTTTGGTTACTTCAGATTATCTAATTGATTTCTGCTTCTTGCAAAATATTGCTGCCTGAGTTAAAATAAGGTGCTATAAAGTTACTGCTTTTTGCTAATCAAATGAAATCGTTGCTGATTGACTTAAATGAAATTGCTCCTTCTTGCATATTAAACGAAATTAAATTGATGCTTGAGTTAAATGTAATTGCTGCCTTGCCGCCCGCTTCCTGGGATGGCAATTTGGGTTGGGGGAGGGGCAGCAGAGAGGAAATTGTTTTTCACTATTTCTTTCATTTTTATTTAATTGAAAATGAGGGTATAATTGTTTTTCCAAATACATGTCTAATCTCAAGTGTATCAAGGATAGGTTGTAGCTATGTTGTTAAATGAGGTTACTTTGGATCCAAAGTTCAAGACTACCCGGCTTTGAGCTCGTTTCAATATCTGAACGTGACACTTGTTGGCCTCCAGCTCCTGCCCTTCTCTCTTCTAATCTTTGAGGGTAACCGGGGTTAATAATTTCGGCTAACATTTACCTAGCAGGTCCTATATATTATGTCCTCGTAATTTACTTGTCTTTTCTCTTTATTTCTTGGCTATAAATTATAAGTATTTCCAAACCAGAGAATAGAAGATTAACATTAAGGTACACTCCATTTCCAGGAAACTAATTAGGTGCAAATTGTTGTTGTTGCAGATGCCATTGAATGTATTTTGGTATTTCTAAAACAATCCGTTCTCCCTAAGCATGTCGGTTTCCAGACTTTCTAGAGGATCCCTTTTCTCTTCCTACCTTAACAGACACATTCGTCAGTCCTCGTTTGTGTCCAGGTAATTGATGTCATGAATTTTAGTTTTAATTTTGGAAACATTCTTATACATATCATAAATTTAACATTTCTGTGTTTTTTATGTATGCTCTTGTAGATGATTAATTTATTTATACATTTTTTATGATTTCCAATATAGACACCTGCTCCAAGCTGTTGCTCCAACGTACAATTTTTATGGATCCAATAATTGTAATATATATGGACGAGAATTTCGGACTGAGCATTGGAGCTTTATTTCAGTGCGTGAAAATAATAGAGGGCATTTGAGGAGTTGTAACTTGGAGAGGTCATCTTTTTCGATTAATCTCCAGCGTTCATATGCTAGTCAGGCTTCCCCAGAACAGAAATCTAATAAGATGCTTTTGTGCTTGACGGGATTGGTTTTTGCAATGGTAGGGTGTAGTTATGCTGCTGTTCCTCTATATAGGAGGTTTTGCCAGGCTACTGGTTATGGAGGCACTGTTCAACGTCGTGAGGTGAAATACCCTCTCTTGATTCACGGTGCAGTTATATATTTTTGATGACTTTCTGATATAAAGATTCAATATCTTCGTTTTATGCAGAGTGTTGAAGAAAAGATAGTTCGCCATGCCAAAGAAGGAACACTTACCTCCAGGTGAGGCTTTCATTGTTTGAATAATTATAAATCAATTCTCACCATTCTTCATTCATTAAAAGATTTAAGGGATTTCTATCATTTGCCTGAAGAGTCTTTGGATCTTTGTAAACAAGAAAGATACATGGGAGATGAACAGCAGAAAAATAATATTTTCATCTGAAATTTTTTAAGAAGAAAATTTGAGGGAAACAGAAATAGTAGAATTTCAATGCAAAAATAATCGTTAACTTTCAACAGATGCCAATGACTTCAGTGGACACTGTAGAATATGCATGCACTAATATTAAGATTTATTTGTGTGGGGGAGAACATGTAAAAATCATGTTTGTTCCATTGACTTCCAATTTTCTCTATCTTGTTCTCCATATTTAAGATCCAGAAAGGTCAAAGTGAGTTGTTTTATTTTGGTATGATTAAGATGATGGCTTGCTTAGATGGGAAGTGATTCTCCAAGAAGGGATGAAGATAAAAATAAATCTTCTTCTGATTAATGTTGCCGTGATAATAAATACTTAAATTGAAGCTTCACCATCCATGAACCAACTTGCTTTTTTCCCACATTTTGCCACTGATTCTTGATCCACCAGATATAGGACAATCCACTTCTATGGTCCTAATAAGAGTTGGTTTGTCAAATCAAAAGTTATGTTTTCATCTTGTATTTACAGGTGAGAGTGGGTTGACGCTTCAAAAGATATAGAGAGTATTGATAAAAATCCTTGAATTTTGCATTATGTATGTCCTGTTTGGATGACCTCAAAGTATTGTGCTTACAGGGAGATTATTTTGCAGTTCAATGCTGATGTGGCTGATGGAATGCCCTGGAAGTTTGTTCCAACACAGAGAGAGGTGCTTTTGTTATATGCATATGAGTGAACATGTTTGTTTTTGCTGGTGTGTGTGTATATGCATGCTCGTATTTGTTTTGGCAAAACATGTTGCAGGTATGTTACATGGTTTGGGATGTTTGGTCACATTTCTATGGTATCTGGCTTCAGGTAAGGGTCAAGCCAGGAGAGAGTGCCCTTGCATTTTACACTGCTGAAAATCGAAGTTCAACCCCCATTACTGGTGTATCTACTTATAATGTTACGCCAATGAAGGTATCAATATTCAAATGATTCAGCTTATTATTCTCTCAAAATTTCTATTTTCTCTATAATCTTTCCTGTTACTTAATTAGAAATTTTTTCGAACTATTTTGGAGTCTTCTGATTCAAAAATTTGGTTGAGTGGCCAGGTTTAGTTAGGTAGAGATATTGCCAATGATGTTTGTCTTTCGAGGCCTGATATGAAAGTCATTCTGTGTTCCTCTCATCATTGTGTTTTACCAAGTTAGAACAAGATAATGCGTAGTTTTCACCAATTTAATATGTAGTTACAATTTTTCACCGAAAAAGGGGATAAAAGCTAGGTTTTTGTGGATCTTAATGGATCTCTTAGGCATAATATGTCCCTTTTCATCATACTAGAGAAGAGTTAGTGGCATAGATAATTTAAGATATTGAGCCCTTGTTTGAGTCCCATTTTGGGGAAAAATGTATTTTGGAATAGTCTTTTTTGGAGAATGTGTGGTTAAAAAATGATTAAAAAATTTTCGGTTTACTTGTAAAATTATTTTATTGGAGAATGTGTGGTTGAAAATGAGTTTTGAAAAAAAATGAGTTTTTGATAAAATGGGGCTCAAACAAGGGTTCAAATTAGTTTTGATATGCGGACTGCATTGAGGAAGAGTTTGATCTGGAGTTTTGCATGCACCAATGCCGTTGAGTAATTCTTTTCAGCTGTCACTCTGATATAGGTTCTCTTATATTCTTCTAGTATTCATTTTGTCTGTAAATTTGTTTGTATATAGATCTTTACAGCATGACAGTAATGCAAACAAATTTTTCCATCATCTTCTTCTTGCTATTTTTTTCTCTGCATTTTGTCTCATCTCCTCACTGACCCTTGTCCACTTCTTTATACGTAGTGTCTTATAAAATGTGCCCCTATTCACTAATAGGGGATGCTTCATAGGATTGTTTTAAAGTCCATTTCATAGATGTGGCAAAATCCTGCAATGGCTTTCAACTACTGTCTACTGCAAACTGAAATTCTGCACGGGAATGATCTTGAAACATTAATTTCGCCCATTGAACTTCTTTCCCTTTTTGTATCACCCATTGTACTTTCCAGTACTTTCAAATTTCCTACTCCCTCATATCCTCCTATCAATGGGACATTTTCGTAGTAATCTTTTTCATTTGACTGCTCATCACTCCAAGCTTGAACCTGCTTGTCTGGACATTTTATTATAGGTTTGTATTGAATAAACTCTAATGCTCAGCTAACAAGTATCTAAAATCTATTTTTACATTCATATTTTTTTGTGATGAATGCCAAAGTGACATCGTTCGATGTTTGTCTGGTACTCTGGAAGATGAGACAATTTATTATTATTATTATTATTTTTAATCTTCTTTTTTTATATTGCTGTGGAAAATTTTACTTGCTCTGCATTCTCGATATATGACCTCGAGAAAGCAAATAGTTGAGTAATGACACCTTTCAGGCTGCAGTTTACTTCGACAAAATACAATGCTTTTGTTTTGAAGAGCAGCGACTACTTCCTGGAGAGCAGATCGACATGCCGGTAAGTGGTTTTCTTCTTCTATTTCTAGCTAACTTTTGCTGCTGCTCTTGGAATCTTGTTACACAATTCTACATTTCGATCTGTAGGTGTTCTTTTATATAGACCCCGAGTTTGAAACGGATCCTAGAATGGACGGTATCAACAACTTGATTCTTTCGTACACATTTTTCAAGGTTTCGGAAGAAAACTAGTGAATTTTTAAATTCTTTGTCATTTGAAAGAGGGTGTGGTGTATTTACTAATGTGATATTTTTTGTATTATTCTTTCTTCTTTTGTTCATTCAAACAGAGTTTAGTATTCTATTTGCAATGTGAGTGTTCACATAATCAATCATCAACAAGCGATTTCGGTTATGAAATGAATGAACTAGAAGCAATTTAATTATGATACATATATAAAAAGTGTTGGATATATTTGAAATAAATATATAAATTTATTTTTTGATAAATTGTTTGTACTAATTTGAGCTTTCTTTTGTTCATGGATCGATCGTATATTTATGCATCGAGTGCTTAAGCCCCTGTTTGGTTCTCATTATTTGAAATTATAATTTTTGGAATTGTATTTATTTGGATAATGTGTGGTTGAAAAAGAATGAAGAGTTTTTGGTTTATGTGTAATAATATTTTATGAAAGATTGTGTGGTTGAAAATAAGAAATTGAAAAATAATTTTTTAGGATAATGGGGGCTAAGTTTAGCATGGAAATATTCAATTTATAATTCGATATAGCAAATTACAAGTTATCAAGTTCAACTAGATTTTCCAACAAGCCTTACAAGGAGTTTTTACTTGTATTGGGCATTTTTACTTAGGCTGTGTTTGATTAGCCAC